TTCCCAAAAGTCATACGGTTGGTTAGTGGTGAAACTGATGCCCAAACCCTGCAGCGTGGAGATTCCCAGGTGCCTGTGGGGTGAGGCTTGAGCAAGGTGGAGACAGAGAGGCCCGTGGGCAGGAGGCCAAGAGAAGCCAACTGGGACCGGCCACCTGCTCACAGAGAGAGGTGAAGCAGAGGCCCGCCATCCACCTACCCCTAATCCTCTCCACCAGGCCTCCGCCTCAGCCAGGGCCAGCTCCTTCCTCCACTCCAGGCGTGTCTCTGACTCCCCCATGGCAAAAGCTGAGGTCTGGACTCCACTGCAGCACAGGCGCAAGGCTCTCGGCTATGCCCCGGGGTGACCACTTTCAGCTTCACTCTCACTTCATTCTACTCCTGTGCTCTGCAGGGGCTGGGCTGGCCTTCCCGGGGCCTGACTCTCACCCTGAACCAGCCAGGCCTGACATCCACTCCCTGACCCCATGCAGGGGGACCCACACCCAACTACAATGTGTCCTGGTTTTGTCAGACAGCAGATGGTCCAGGGAGAGGTGAACTGAGGTGACTTTTGCCTGAGAGACCCTCTGCGCTCCAACCCATCCCAGGCTCATTCCAAACGCCTAACGGGAGTAGAAGTCACATCTTCTTACCCACATTGCTTATACCCGCCTCATTTCCTCCTCCCTTCCCTGGCTCCACCCTTAGGAACTGGGACACCCACTTGCTCTTGCTGCCTCAGCCACATTCACTGCCCCAGCCCTCCCCGCTACTGGGAGAGTCCTCTGAGGAAGAAACACAACAACTGAGATTTTCAGTGGCATCTTCAGGAGCCCGGGGTACAGAGTGACACAGGGCTGGGAGATGGTGCAGAAGCTGTTCTGCAGAATCCAGAGTCCTTCAGCGACCCTGAGGCTTCCTGCTCAAGGAGGTAGGCTGAGAACACAGGAACCCGGGGCTCCGTGTGCTTGCCGTGGTCTTCACCATCTGAAGCCTCTAAGCGTTTCCAGGCCTCCTTCTTCTCCTCCGCCCTGAGGCTTGGCTGAGCTGTGCCTTGGACGGATGGTGGAGGGGCACCGCCATGCGGTCATCTAGCAAGGCTTGGTAATCCTTTATGAGGCCCTTGCTCAGGGGCACACTGGGCATCCAGGCCAGCTTTAGCACCTTCTCCTGGTAATGAGGCAGAGGGTTTGGACAGGGCCAGTTCCTGGCTACAGCAGGGGGAAGGGAGTTGGGCAGGAGCGGGAGGCCCTGAGACTCAAACCATCCACCAGCTGATTTGTGCCGGGACCTGTGAGAGAGGGGCGAGAGGTCAAGACAGAGTGAAAGGCATGGTGGGAAGGGTGGGAGGGGATGGTGACCCTGTCTTCCACTAGCCGCCTGGGCACCAGTCTCTTCTCTCTCCTGCATGTCAAATGGTCTGCGCTGTGTCCTAGGTATGTGCTTTGGCCTTAAGCTGGTGAGGTCACATGGTGTAGCTGGCCTCAAACTTGTGGAGATCTTCCATCACAGCCTTCCGGGTGCTGGGACTACAGGTGTGCACCACCACAGTTGGTGGTAGCTTTTTTTAAACAGTTGAATGACTTGCAGGTTTTCTGCCACAGCGGATATTCCCATTTGCTGCTGTTGGTTTATTCAGGGGTTCTCAGCCATGACTGAACATTAGAATCACCCTGGGGACCTTTTAAAAGTACCACAGCCAGGGGCTGGGGATTTATCTCAGTGGCACAGTGCCTACCCGGCAAGCGCAAGGTCATGAGTTCGATTCCCGGTACCAGAAAAAAAACAAGTACCACAGCCGGGAGTGGTAGTGCAGGCCTGTAATCCCAACACTTGGGAGGCTGAGGCAGGAGGATCGTTGGGAGTTCAAGGCCAGCCTGGGCTACAAAGTGAGCTCAAGGTCAGCCTGAACTGCGTAGTCAGACCCTGTCTCAAAAAGACAAAAAGTAAATGAATAAATAAAAAAATAAGTAAATAAATGTACTACAGGGCAGAGGGGTGTAGTTCAGTAACAGAATGCTTGCCTAGCATGCACCCCCAGGCCAGCACCAAAAATAAAATACAAACCATGCCCAAGCTGTGCCCTGCATTATCTAAGTTAGAATTTCCAGGGTGAAGGTCAGTCTTTTTTTCTTCTTGCAGTACTGAGGCTTGAACTAGGAACTTCACACCAAGCTACTGTCCCTTTTAAAATTTTTTTGAGGCAGGAGCTTGCTAAATCGCCTTGGCTGGGCTTGATCTTGTTTTTTTTTCTTGTTGTTGTGTCTTCTTTTTTGAGACAGGGTAACAGGTTCTCCTCGCATTGGTCTTTCTTGTCTCCACCTCTGCACTTGTGCAACTCCATTGAGGTCCAGCTGAAACAGCACCTTCTCTGTGAACACCGAAACACTGCTGGAGGGGCTGGGACCGCAGCTCAGCGGTCGGTAGAGCATGAGCCTGCTCAAGTCCCTGGGTTCAGTCCTTACCATCACTGCCGACAAAAACAAAACGAAAAGCCTCACCCAAGATTCTCCTCCATGGTGCTCCAGGGGCCGTGCCCACAGCGGCACCCTTCCTCCATGGAAACGCCCTCTTGGTAATGACGCCGTTCCTCTCGCACCCCTTCTATATGCGCCATTTGTATTGGCTCATCTCCAATACATACTGGAGAAAAGTGAGGCTCAAAACACTTTTAAACACTGGGACATCATGGTGCATGCTTGTGATCCCGGTACTCTGGAAACTGAGGCAGGAGGGATGCTGTGAGTCAGCGCCAGCCTGAGCTACAGTGAGCTCAAGGTCAGTCTGAACTATATAGTGAGACCCTGTCTCATAAAACAACAATAATTTTTTTTTTTTTTAAGTTGAGATCCTAAGCCGGGCATGGTGGCACACACCTGTAATCCCAGCACTTGGGAGGCTGAGGCAGGAGGATTGCCACAAGTTCGAGGCCAGCCTGGGCCATATAGTTAGTTTGGGGCAGCCTGAACTATACAGCAAGGCCCTGTCTCAAAAAACAAAAACAAAACAAAAAGTTGACATCCTATAGCACATTTGTGACCTGGGGACTGTGTGCAATTGTGCAAGATTCTTGACTTCTCCATCTCTGATGCCCCATCTGTAAAATGGGGTTAATAAGTGTCTACTCAGTGTCCCAGGGGGTTAAATAATATAAAGAGATTAGATTCAACTATGGATTTTCTTTTTTTGTTTTTTTTTTGAGACAGGGTCTCACTATGCAGTTCAAATTGGCCTTGAGCTCACTTTGTAGACTAGGCTGGTCTTGAACTTGCAACAATCCTCCTGCCTCAGCCTCCCGAGTGCTGGGATTACAGGTGTGTGCCACCACGCCCGGCTAACTATGGATCTTTTTGAGCACAGTGCTAAGTCTTATTCACCTTTGGATCCTGCATTAGCACAAACTAGCCATCAACAGACTTCACAGCAAGTGTGGCAGAGAAGCCCTGAGCGGTGCCTAACGGGAGTCCCGCTGGGCAGGAGGAGGGGCTGGAGACTCGCAATCCCTTTCAATTCCTGTCTGCTCCAACCATTCCTCTTTACCCTTAGCAGGCTTTCTGCCCCACCAACCTTATCCTTGGCTTCCACATCAAGCGCCTAGGAGGGCCCGGCACATGAGGACACCAGCGTGCTCCCAGCAGTCTGGCTCACAGCAGCCCCTCCTGAATTTCTCCCTCCTGAGCATCTCCTCTTGGCTTGGTTCTTTTCCTTCCTCCTTCCTTTCTTTTCCTTCCTTCCTTCCTTCCTTCCTTCCTTCCTTCCTTCCTTCCTTCCTTCCCTTTTCTTTTCTTTTTTTTCTGTCTTCCTGTCCTTCCCTCCCTTCCTTCCTCTTCCTTTCTTTCTTTCCTCCCTTCCTTCTTTCTTCCTTGGCGCTAGGGAAGGAACGCGCTAAGCAAGCACTCTAGCACTGCGCCACACCCCGTCCCTAGCTCAGCTCTTTCACATAGTCACCAACCCATTGTTGTAGTTTTTGAGACCAGTCCTGCTATGCAGTTCAGGCTGTCCTCAAACCCACCATGAAGCCCAGCCTGGTCCCTGCCATGCTCCTGCGGAAACCTCTGAGTCCTGGGATTGCAAGCGTGTGACGTCACGCTTGGCTTAACTAACTCATCCTAGCCTCACTAGTGAGGGAGGTATCTTGGGTATTATGATACCCACTTTAACAGCCATGCAACTGAGTCTGGAAAAACTAAGCAACTTGCCAAAGTGATGCTTTGGATTAATTCCAAGCCCTCTGACCACAGCTTTCTTTCAGTTCTGTCCATTCATAATGGACTTCCTGGACCTTAACACTGTACTCCCTGCCTTGGACATGTAGTAAGTTTTAAGTGTTCTTTTCCCTGTTAAAAAATAATAAAGTTCTGGGGATGTAGTTCAGTGGTGTAGAACTTGCCTAGCACACACCCAAGGCTCTGACTTCAGTCCCTAGCACCACACACACACACACACACACACACTCACAAAACAATGGGCTTTCCTATAATTCCCACTCTCTCATGATGTGGGCGCTTCACAGACTGGTGTGGTTTTTAGTGTTATTTTTGTTGCTGTTGTTCGTTTTGTTTGGTTGGTTTTTGTTTTTTTTTTTCAGACAAGGTCTTGCTGTGCAACCCAGACTGGTCTTGGACTTGCAATCCTCCTGTCTCAGCCTCCTCAGTGCTGGATGGCCTGTCTTAGATGGCTATCTTGAGGGCAGGGTCTGAATCACATTCCTCAGGGTGCCGGAGTCCGGCTGGTGTTAATCACCGACTGGCACTCCACGCGTTTTTAGTTAAACAACTAAGTCTCTCCTCTGGCTGGTCTTGTCGGGCTGCGCGTCTTTCTAGCTACACGGTATTCTGAAAGCGAGGGTTGGCCGGGGTGCGGCTCAGCGCGCGCAAGGCTCTGGGCTGCGTCCCCAGCCCCGCAAGGAAAAGCACAAGGGGTGGACGACCGCGGGGAGCAAGACTGAAGGACAGGGTTAGACCCGGGAACAGGAGAGCGGGTGGGGCGGGGCGCACCCCCGGCAGGGGCTCATCTTACTTCCTGGGGCGGGCAGGGGGCAGGGCGTTGCCACGGGCGTCGAGCAGAGGCGCTCGCATCTCGCTCCTCAGCCGGAGATTCTCCGCTTCCTTCAGCTCCTTCACCGTCCTCAGGATCACCTGGTTCTTCCTGTTCCCGTCCAGGAAGATGGGCGTGCAGCCGATGAAGGCCAGGAAGTTGTTGGGCCCCAGCCAGGAGGGCGGCGGCACCGGGGGCTGCGCCGGCTGAAGGCGGGCAGCGCGGGCGTGCGTGAGCCCGCGCCAGACGTTGCTGTCGTAGGGCCTGTCGGGCCGCCTGGGGAAGGTGGCCGGCAGCCGGCCCACGTCCAGCCACGTGTGGAAGCCCCAGGTGTGCTCGGCGGCGCCCTGCCAGGGGCGGAGCAGCCGCTGGCGCACGGTGGACTTGATTTCCGTGCAGGGCGGCCGCCGCAGCGCCAGCTGGTGGTAGGCTCGCCGGGTGAAGCCGGGCGGCTCCCAGGTCCCCCTGGGAAGGAGGAACTGGCGCTGAGCCCACGTCTGGTACTGGGGAAGGTGTTCATTGGCACGGACCATCTAGGAAGAGAAAAGGGGAGCCTGGGGCTGGCTGTGCCCGCGGGGACACCGCACGGGGCCAGGCCCGAGCTCTGCTCCCCAGGCCCGAGCTGCACGGCTCCTCCAACCCAGGGCTCGTCCGGGGACACAGCGGCCGGGCAGGGAGCCGCCAATCCTGCCGGTCTTGCCCCCCAGAAATAATGGCACTGTTTTCCATCTCCTGGGTCCTCTCTTCTCGTTCCCTGGCCATATTTTGGCCTTGGTTTCCCCCATCTCAACTTCTACTCCTCATCTTCGGCCCCCTCCGCGTTCTGATGGTCCCACATTCCTGCCCACCGCCTCTGGGGGCGGGTCCCCGACAGCCATTCCAGAACGATCCCGCCAGTGCTCTTGGTGACACTGGTAACACATGGAAAGCTTTTCTCCAGAAGCGACAACAGGCAGTTTTCCACCCTGGCATCCCAGACTCCCTCTATTACTCCACTATTTCGCTCTCATTAGCAGTGCCTTTGGCTTTTGTTTTCCTGGTGGCATTGATGACTGGGCCCAGGACCTTTGCACTGAATTTTTATCCCCATCCCTTTTCACATTTTTTAAATTTTGAGACAGAGTCTTGCCTAGTTGCCCAGTCTGGGCTCCAACTTTCAATCCTCCTGCCTCAGCCTCCCGAGTGCTGAGAGTACAGGCATCCCTTACTTTTCATTAAAATGCAAGTATAGCCGGGCGTTGTGACCCACACCTGTGACCCCAGCACTCAATAAGCTGAGGCAGGAGCTGGGGATATAGCTCAGCCGCATAAGTCCCTGCCTCGCAAGTGCAAGGTCTGGAGTTCGATTCCCAGTACCAAAAAAAAAAAAAAAAAAGCTGAGGCAGGATTGCCAGGAGCTCGAGGTCAGCCTGAGCATCAGTTCAAGGCCAGCGTGAACTGCAAAGTGAAACCCTGTCTCAAAAAATTTTTTTAATTAAAAATAAAATGCAAATATAGAAAGCATCTACAGCTTAAAAAAAAAAAAAATGAAAGCATCTACAAGTTAGCCCATTGCCTTTGCAGCCTCTCCCCATTGGAGGTAAACGGTAGCAACTCTGCGTCAGCAACGGACGCTTACAGGTCCCATTACCCTCACCACTCCATGAGCAAGTCTTGGCACTGTCCCTTCGATGGTCTAGAAGTATCCCCCAGAGCCCGTGTATGCCACTTGGTCCCCAGCCTATGGCGCTGTGGGTGGTGGTGACACCTTTAGGAGGCAGGGCTTAGTTGGGGGAAGTGAGGTCGCTGGCAGTGGCCGTGGAGAGGGCTGTGGGATCCTGCCCCCGTCTCTCGCTGCTTCCTGGCTGCCAAGGTCACAGGCCTCCTCCACCACGTGCTCCCACCACGATGTCCTGCGCCACCACAGGTCCACGCCAAGGGGGCCAAGCGATTACACACAGAAACCTCCAAAACCATGAGCCAAAGTAATCCTTGCTAAAGGGAAACTGTCTGAACACATGGCGGACTGGGACCTGGGCCAGCACGCAGTGAGACAGCCTTGCAGAACATAGGCATAGCCTGTGTCCTGGCCAGGACAAAACGTCTTTTAAATGCCTTTCTTTTTATCCTGGGACTTTTTTTTTTCCCCAGGATGGCGCTGACCTCAGCGCCCCAGCTGGCTTAGATCTTCTGGCAATCCTCCTGTTTCAGCCTCCTGAGCGCTGGGATTATAGGTGTATGCCACCATGCCCAGCCTCCCTGTAGTTTGGCCCTTGTCCCCTAAGTCATTTCTACAAATGGGCCAAGGGAATGTGGTACAGGCTGAACATCCCTAATCTGAGAATCCGAAATGCTCAGAATCTGAATCTTTCTGAGCATCACATGGCATGACAAGTGGAAAGTGCCACACCTAATTTTTCTTGTTTGTTTTTCCAGTACCAGGAATTGAACTCACGATCTCATGCTTGCCAGGCAGGCGCTGTGCTGCTGACCTAAATCCCCAGCCCCCACACCTAATATTAAACGATTGGTCAGTGAAACACAGGCACAGAGCTGGGAATGGTGGCACACGCTTGTATCCCAGCACTCGGGAGGCTGAGGCAGGAGGATCGTTGTGAGTTCAGAGGCCAGCCTGGGCTACAAAGTGAGTTTAAAACCAGCCTGAACTGCATAGTGAGACCCTGTCTCAAAAAGACCAAAAAAAAAAAAAAAAGCCACACACAGGCACCCTAAAAATGCTGAATAAATGACTTGAAGGTGAGGGGCATAATGTACATATGAAACACATGAATCTTGTGTGTAGACTTGGGTCCTGTTCCCAGGAGATCTCATTCATTATGTATATACAAACATTCCCAGATCAAAAATATCCAAAATCCTAGACTTCTTACACCAAGCACCTCAGGCAACAGAAGAGGCAAGGCCTCTAACTAGGCATTTCCTCATGTCTGAGCCCTGCTTCCAGATTGCAGGGCTGAGAACAGAATTTACACCCTGGGAGACCTGCTGCCCAGAGGGCCAGCCTCCAGCCCAGCCAGAGAAAAAGGTGGACTACCTGCAGGAGAGGTTCTCTGCGACATGGATCACTCGGCCCTCGGAGTGACCCTGGTGGGTTACCGGCCATTCTTCAGGGCTCTGAGCCAGGAGGGCCGGCTTTGTGAGGAGCCCTTTTGGGCACCATTGTTTGTTACTGGAGTTGCTATGGTGACACTTCCTGACTGCTGATGCAGGGAGGAGGCCCTCAGCTGTCACCTGAGGCTCTTCAGTCCCTGGGGGCCCCTGCCTGTCTACTGAGACAGGTGCAGGGGCCGGGGTGGTGACTCTTGTCAGTTCTGGCTACAAAATAAGATGACAAAAACTGCTTCAGGAGTGACTTGCAGGAACGCTCAGGGAGGAGAAAAGCTGGGCAGGCCTCTGGTGGTAATAAGACCCCTGCAACAGGGCTCTCCTTTCCCTAATGCACCAGAGGTCCCAAGGAACAAAGCTGGGATGACAGGGAAGAGCTGGGATGTCCAGGAGAGTACTGGGAAATCCGCAATTTCAGCACCGGAAACGGTATGGGAGAGAGCCAGGCATAATGGTGCATGCCAGTGACCCCAGCATTCTGGCAGGCTCAGGCAGGACTGTAAGTTCAAATCCCGCCTGGGCAACTTGGCAAGACCCTGTTGCAAAGTAAAAAAACCACTGATGTAGCTCGGTGCAAAGGCCCCGAGTTGAACTCCCAGGAATGGAGGGAGGGGACCCACGTGGGGCCCTGGCACACTCTCCTTCAGTTGCTCCCGTGGGCAGCTGCAGGCCTTGCCTCATCCCGTTATGCCTGATCATTTTTTTTTGTCTTTTTGAGACAGGGTCTTGATACGCAGCTCAGGCTGGCCTTGAGCTCACTGTGTAGCCCAGGCTGGTCTCGAGCTCACAACTATCCTCCTGCCTCAGCCTCCCAAGTGCTGGGATTACAGGCGTGCGCCACCACACCCAGCCGTTACGCCTGATCATCAATCCTCTTTCCATCCCCTCCAGACCCAAACAGAGCAGAGACCAGCTGTTCCACCCCGGTTTTTATTCAGTAGGTAGATGTGGTAGTGTTCTTGAGCTGGCTCACACAGGCAGCCAGCTAGAGCCTAGGGTTGTTCTTTGCAAAGCTGAGTTACAAACTAAGGACACCAGGCAGGTGAGGGGTCCTTCCCGCCTTCTCAAGCCTCCACCTGAGTCCTCGTCCATTCCAGTCTCCCTGGCATGATTAAGGACATTATCAGAGAAACGTCGTAATGGGGCACATCTGGGGACCACTGTGTCAGATGCATCCATTCTATCTCCAAATTCAGTTCTTGACACAACACAAGACCTTTTAAACCAAATTTCTTCTTGCAGGAAAGCTGACTTGGAAATGCTGGGAGGTGGGAAGGAGGGGGAGTCTGAGGGCCCCTGCCCAGCAGACACGTCTGGGAGAAATGTCTGGCTGCCCACAGTAAAGAACCCTCGGGCCTGAAGAAACCGTGCACTTCAGGACCATCCCCTCTAAATGCAAAGCGAGGGACAGAAGCAAACCACAACTCCCCGTCATCTTACCCACCTCCAAGATTCATTTACAATTGGAGGGTAATTTGGAGAATTTATACCATCTACAACGGCCACCCCGCAAGCAGGGACAGCAGACTACAGGACACAGAACGGAAATGATGCGGGGACTTCTCCATCCCTTCCCACTACTGCCTCCGCACTGCTGCCCTTCAGCTCCTGGCAGGGAGAGCAGACGAACCTTTCTCCCCAGAGACCCGCTGCACACCCTACTTTTGCAAAGATCCCAGCAGCGGCGGGGTGTGACTGCCGCCTTTGCATCACCAGGCTGGTGGAGTCCCTGCCTGCAGTCCTCGGAGGGTGTGGCATCACCGAGCCCGGGACTGCCCAGCCACTCGAGTGCCTGAACAGTGGGTAGCTTGAGCTTCTACTGTAAGGGTCAAGTGGCTTCTACTGTAGTTCAGGAATGAACTGGGACCAGTTGATGTTGTCAGGGCCCAGGGGGTCTTCCTCCAGGCCAGGGAAGCTGATGTCCAAGAGGATCTTGCTCAGGCTGTCGTTCATTGTGTCCAGAACGAGGCCTTCTGTCAGAGAGCGGTTGCCTGAAACGCTGGGAACCTGTGGCTCTGGGGAGCCCGGCTTGGGGACTTCCGGATCTGAGGGGCAAGAGCTGCTAAAGGGGTCAGAGGCAAGGTCAAAGGGCTCTGAATTGAGGAGCTCTCGGGGTGAGTCAAAGAGGGGAATGCTTTTCAGTGGCGTGGTGCTCAGATCCATCAGCCCCAGGGAGTCAGGCAGGGCCCCGAAGGTGCCCTGGGGCGCCTGTACCGGGCTGAAGTCCAGCCCCCTCACTTTGCCGGGAGGTGTGAGCCTCCAGGCTTCAAGGGTTTGGGGGAGGAGAGATTTACTCGGGGTAGAGGCGATGGGCAGCATCTCCTTAATGGGGGTCTTGAAAGGTCCTCCCTCCTCCTGGGGGCAGCCAAGCTGCAGGGCAGGCTCCGTGGGCTCTTCCAGGACACGGGGCTCGGCAGCTTGTCCAGACATGCTGGGGCCCTCCGAGAAGACAAGCTCAGGTTCATCCACACGGGGAGGTAACAGGTGCTGCTTCCTTCGAGACCGGCTCATCTCCCTTCTCTCCCTTCGTTTAATCACCAGCATTTCTGAGACCCGCTGCGCTGGGGACTTGAGCTCACTGTAGGACCTCTTGGGCCTGGGGGTGGGAGAGCAGGATGAATCCTCCCAGGAGTGAGACGCCTCTTCCTTGAAGGACAGACATGGAGAGGGCCACTCCTCCAAGGGAGGGCTCTCCACCTTGATGGGTCTCCCTAGGGGCAGCGTGTCCTCCCCAGGCTGCGTTTCTTCCTCCTTGATAGACTGAACCGGAAGCAATGGCAACAGCCCGTCTCCCAGCAGAGGTTTCTCCTCCTTCACTGGTCCAGCGGCAGGAAGAGGGGCTACACCCTCGTCAGCCAGCAGTACCTGAAAGGGAAGCGGGGGTGAAATAAAGGGATCGTGTCCAACCCGCTGCCACCAGGCAGGACAACACACGTGACACACTGGTGTTTGCTCCTCTTGTTTCTTAACGTTGTTTGTTTGTTTACTGTGATGCTGAGGGTTGTATCCCAAGCAAGTGCTCTCTACCACTGAGCTACACCCCTAACCCTTGTCTTTTTTTTTTGGTACTGGGAATTGGACCTCACGCTTGTCACGTAGGCGCTGTGCTACTGAGCTGAATCCCTGGCCCTCTTTTGTCTTTTTAAAGCATTAAAAAATTTTAAGTAGGAGACTATAATATGTAATGAAGGTGGTACTTTCATTCTGGGGTACAGATGAGAGAGCTGCGGCCAAGGGTGGAGCTCAGTAGTAGAGCACACACTCAGCAAGCACGAGGCCCTGGGTACAATCCCTTGTGCAAAAAGGAAAAAAAAAAAAAAAAAGAGAGAGTATTTAATCTATTTTACACTGTATACAAAAACTTTTTTTTTTTTTTGGCTGTGCTGGGCATTGAACCCACGTATATGAAGAGTTAAATATAAAAATTAAAATCTGAAAACCACACAAATCCTCAAAGAGAATTTAGGAGACCACATGCACAATCTGAGGGTGTGATGACCTTTTTTCTCTCTCTCTTTTTTGAGACAGGGTCTTGCTCTGTAATTCAGGCTGGTCTTCAACTCACTATGTGCCCCAGCATGGCCTCAAACTCATGGCAATCCTCCTATCTCAGCCTCCCACTTACTGGGATTACAGGCATGTACCACAATGCCTGGCAGACCTTCTTAAACAAGACTGGAAGCCCAGAAGGTGTAAAAGACAAATTTGACTCTATATAAAAATTTAAAATTTTACCGGCCACAGATAGTATAAACAAAGTTAAGAAACAAATGATGGAAAAAAAAAACAAACCAGCAAAATATCATTGTAAAGGACAGAGGTTAATGTTTTAGCCACAAAGACCTCTCACGATAAGATGTGAGACCCTTCAGCAAAATGGGCAGTGTCCATAAAGGAGCAGCAGAAGCTGCCCCAAGTGACCAGACTTAAGGAGACGGTGCTCAAACTTACTTATAAAGATAAAATTAACGGGGCTGGGGATTTAGCTCAGCGGCAAAAGCGCCTGCCTGACAAGCGCAAGGTTGTGAGTTCGGTTCCCGGTACCGGAGAAAAACCAAAAAAAAAGATAAAATTAACGAAGAGATAGTCACACACACTGGACTGGAAAATAGTACAAAGACTAATAACAATTGCCGACAAAGATATAGCTCTTGTCATCTATTGCTGGTTGAAATGGAAATGACCACAGTTGTTCTGGGAACACAATCTTACAATATTTACTACATAAATTTAAGGTATCTGTCCAATCTCATGTCTGGGGCTCTATCCCACAGACATGAAAGTAGCAGTAAGAGTGTTTACACAGGGCAAAGCCCTAAAACCAAACATGCCCACAGACGTGGCACATGGAGAAATTCATATGGCCACACCATGAAACATGTGGACATAAAAAAAAAAAATGAATTGATTCAGAAGAACTTTTGTGTGTTACAGCACTAGAAAAAGACAGGTGGGGCTGACTATGGTGCACACCTATAATCCCAGCTCTCAGGAAGCCAAAATAGGAGGATGGCAAGTAGGAGGCATAGGCGGGCCAAAGCCAGCCCACCCTAGTGCAACCTTGTCTCAAAAAAATAAAAATAAAAACAAAAGTCAGAGGAAAGGCAGGCCTGGTCACACGGGCACTTGTAATCTCAGCTACTCAGGAGGCTGAGGCATACATCTCAAGTTTAAAAAAAAAGATGTAGAAAAGTGTGTGTATTGTGATCACCTTTTCAATATTCTGTGTTGTATGTACACATACAAAATGACTAGCACTGTATATACACATTATATTAAAGGCATGGATAAAATACAGAAGAAAGCATATGAAATTGCTGACATCTGTTATCTTGTTTTTCTTTCTCTCCTTTGAAGAGACAGGGCATTGCTAAGTTGCCCAGTCTGGCCCTGAACTCCTGGGCTCAAATATTTGCAGTGCTGGGGACTGAACCTACGACTTCATACGTTAAGTTACATCCTACCCCTAAAAACATTTTTGAATTAAAAAATTAAAGCAAACCCAAGTTTCTCTAAACTCAAATCCATACTATTTCCATTTCACTGAAGGGAGAGAGAAGTCTTTCACTTTGGTTATACCTAGCCCTGCTCACAAAACCATCTCCTGAGTGCTATCCCAGACGTGATTGACCACAGTGAGCCCTGAGCTAACCCACCTCACCTTCCCCCAAACAGACCAGAGGTGCTGGCCCAGGCGCAACTGCCCCCAAGTGGACACCTGGCAACATCTGGAGACATTTTCATCGTCACACCCGGGGGTGCTACTGGCATCTAGTGCAGACAACAACGGATGTGCAAGACCACACCCTGCAACCCCTCAAAGAATTCTCCAGTCTAAATGTCAATAGGACTGGGGCTGAGATGCCCCGAGCGAGGGGGAGCACGCGCGCTGCACCCGGCAGGTGCACACTGGCATTCCCGCCTCCATGGCACTGCCCAGCGGCATCCTCTTGCCTCCCCGTGGGCTGCCGAGCTCCTCTTCAGTCCAGGCCCCGTCCCCTTGTGAACACGGCCTGGACCCTTCTAGCCAAGGGATCGCTAATCTTATACTCACAAACGTATCGGGTGTCTATGGGCTGTCTGACACCACTTCTACTGTAATCCAAATGTTTTCTTAGCTCCTATCATGTTACTAAAGTCCCTGTTTTGGTTTTGTCTACACAACTAAGTTTATAAACTGCTCAAGAAACACGTGGCAGGGCGTTGCCCAAGCTGTCGGTGTAACACTTTTAATCACTGGAGTGTCTCGGCAGAAAGACAGCGAGCACTCACTCACCTTAGGGGCAATGCGGACTCGCTTGCTGTGGCGGGCTAGCTCTGAGCTCATGAGTGAAGCCGCCAGGGGCAGCGGCACCTTCACCGTGGGCTGCAGCACCAGGGACTGGTTCACGGGGAACTGGATGGGCACCAGGTACGAGTTGACCCGTGGCAGCAGTGGCTTCATCTTCCGCCCTAAGAGAAAACAGAAGAGATTAGGGGCGAAGGGCCAGGGTCCACCCCTACCTGCTCTCCTTCTCTTGGCTCAGAACCCTTCCTTTGAGCTGGGAACAGAATTTCTGGGGCCGATTCCCTAAATTATGCCCCCTAACAAGGCCTCCCACACTCACGTGCACCCAGTGGGAGTTCAGTTTTGATGGTCACATTCCGGCGGAGCTCGGCATTGGGCCGCTTCTGCTGCTGCTTGTGGCGGATGGAGACAGAAAGAAAGCTGAGTTCATCTGAAGGGACAGGAGACTCCACCAAGCTGAGCTGGGGCCCTTGGGCTAACCAACAGCGCAGAAAGAAAAAGCAGGCCTGGGGGCAGACGCGGCTGAGCACAATCTCCCAAGCCCTGCTTCTGGGGAAGGTGGACGTCATACCACACACCAGGATGGGCCTCCACCGCCCCCCAGGCCTCACCGTCCCCCAGGGATGCTGCAGAGTGGAGCTGTCTGGGTGGCAAAGAAAAGCCAGGCAGAAAAGTGAGAAAACAAAGTGCCATCAGTGGCGTGTCCTCCTCTGTGCTGCCCGTGGAGGGGAAGGAGACATGGGCAAGTGCAGCAGCCACGTGTTCCTCACTCCCGGAAGCCTTGGGACGCTGTGGGGCTGGCAGTCACACAGCCGTAGGCTGCCTTCCCTGGGTCACAGCTTGGTTCTGTCCATGAAAGCCATGCTAAGCGGTGAAAGCGAGCAAGGCCAAGCCCCGAGCCAGGGGGAGAGAATCTTACTGATTCCAAGTGCTCGGGCGATTGTGGAGAGCCTGGGTCCAGTGGCTGCGGCAGCCAAGCATCGTGGGAGAGAAATGAGATGAAGTATGAAGTTACCGTCAGCGTGGTCAACCTGACCAGACCGGGAAGCAATCTACTCCCCATGGATGCCAAGGGACAAGCTGGCCAATGTCCTTCCCAGATGGATGGCACAGTTACCAGCAGCCAAGTCCCAAAATAACAGCTTCTTTCCAAAAAGATGCTGTGGTGGCTCAGTTTCTGGTCTCTAGCCCAAAGGTTTTTTTTAGAACAAAGTTTCCAGTCTTTCTCTGTAAGAATCACCTGAGATACTTTTAAAAATACAAATTCCTGTGGTGCACACCTGTAGACCCAACGCTCAGGAGGCTGAGGCAGGAGGAGTGCTGTGAGTTCAAGGCCTGCTTGGGCTACATAGCCAGACCCTGTGTCAAAAACAACAACAAATAAAATAAAAGTTTAAAAACTCCTGGTCCGATCAGATTCTCTAAATCAGGAGCCCCACAAGAGGGGCCTGAATGCTATAGTGTACCACGTGTCCCAGGTGATTCTTATTCATGGGAAAGCTAAGGAAACAATGCCCTGAGAAGTCCTCTATTTTACATCACAGTGGTCTTTCTTTTTTTTTTGTTTTTTTTTTTGTTGTTGTTTTTCTCCGGTACCGGGACACAGTGGTCTTTCCATGTCCCTGTCTATCACAAAAGTGTGTCCTTCGGTATTTGGCAACTGTACTTAATTCAGCAGGTTTTATGCAAGTCATTAACTGGGTGGCCCCTAGCCTTCCCCAATCAAACAGAGCGTCCCCAGGACAGCTTGTCCCCCGAGACGGCCACACGACTTCCAACACTGACCCTATGTGGGCGAGACCAAGATACGCACCTTAAACACCTGGTCCAGAGTCAGGAATCTGTTTGCACTGGGGTGAATGGTCCAGAAGGAGACCTTGCCATTGGCGGATGTCTCTCGAACAAACATGTCATGGAGAGAAAGGTTGTGGCGAATGGAATTCTGGAAGAGAGAAAGGCAACCGGTTGTCAGCTACTTAGCATTCAGAAACATTGCCTTTAAAGCTTATGGACCTCTCTCTCCCGCTGAGCACAGGCTTTGTCACCTAAGCTGTCGGCACTGATTCACTGGCACTGCACACTGCAGAGTTGACACCTCAACCACACCCACCTATTCCATCGGGACAAGGAGAGCGCTGGCTGCTCCTTAGGTCAGTGATAAAGACCTGGGCTGCCTGCCGGCCCACTCGGCCACGGGCCAGAAGCCGCCGCGCCCTCCCGTTCTCCATCACAGTGTAGGGCCACGGTGAAAAGGAGAACCTCGAGCATGAACTTTACAGCCAGCAGCTCTGCCTTGATGTCCGTGCGGGGAGTGGGGACGGAATGGCCAGGGGGCCCGCAGGCCAGGCCTGTGTCTCCCACAGCCAGACACTCGGTCAGCTCCTACCGCCACGTGGGGACAGGAGCAGACTGCTGGTCAGCCCACGGCCCACGGAGGAAGGTCTAACAGTACAGGAGTGGAACCCAGCTCTGGGGTCTAGGGACACAGCCATCTGGGAACCAGATATGACCAAGCCTGGTACCCATGGCCAGGCTGGTGATGGGCTGGGTAGGCCAGGTTCCAGCATCGAATATTAGCCAAGAGGAGAATGCACATTGGTCCCAGCAGAAGTTGAGGAAAACATCTTTCCTGACAAATCCCATTTCTTTTCTTTTTTTCTGTCTCTCTCCCTCTCTTTCTTTCTCTTTTATGTGTGTGTGTATGGGCGTGTGAGTGTTGCTGGGGATCAGACCTAGGACTTAGCACACGCTGGGCAAGTGCTCTGTCTCTGAGTATATGCCTCTGAGCAAATCCTACTTCTACCCAAAAGACCAATGAAAGTATTTTATTTTTGTTTGAAACAGGGTCTCATTTTATAGTTCAGGTTAGGGGGCTGGGGATTTAGCTCAGCGGCACAGCGCCTGCCTGGCAAGCACAAGGTGGTGAGTTTGATTCCCGATACCAGAAAACAAAACAAACCAACAAACAAAATATAGTTCAGAGCCGGGCATGGTGGCACACATCTGTAATCCCAGCACTCGGGAGGCTGAGGCAGGAGGATCGTTGTGAGTTCGAGGCCAGCCTGGGCTACAAAGTGAGCTCAAGGTCAGCCTGAACTCCATAGCGAGACCCTGTCTCAAAAAGAC